CAGCTGAGGTTGGATGCACACTGGGGAGAGTTTGTGATTTGGCACACTTCCATCTCCATCACCCCACAAGTTCAGAGTCAATGCCCTATTGATGGTGTATCTTTCATGCTTTCACCCAAAGGAAAGGATGCAAATTCACCTGGATGAAATGAACAGCCTGGAAGTGGATCCTAACAGCCAACTCAAGTGGTCAGCTTGACTGTGCCAAACCAATCTCACTGTTATTTGTAAAATAATGTACTGAGTTCCAGTTACACATCAGGCCCTGTGCCTGCTTCCCACACATTGCCTGTCTTGTCACCACAGCCCTCAACAGTAGATATGCACTTCAGAATTTCAGTTTGGAAAGTGGAAGCCAAGTGTCTGGGTGTAAGGCTGAGTGACTTATCTACATATGATAAGAGGCATGGTTTTCTGATCAACAGCCCAGGCCTGTTCAGTACTAAAATAGCCACATTTTGAGATTTTTAAAAATATGCTCTTGATTAGAAAATGATCTTGAATATTGACTAGGGCTGAGAAATTCCTCGGGTAAATGGCTTAAAACAAAAACTGAATACCAACATACATGTTAGTGTGAAAAGTGAGCTGAAGTGCCTCTTCAATAAATTGTGCTTAGGGCACTTGTAAATTGTCATTTTCTAGAATTGTTACTCTATAAGTTCTCCAAAGAAATATCTCTATAGTTCAGTAGTAGTTTAGGCTACAGTTTTGTGCTAAGCACACTATTTCACTTACATCGAGACACTTTAATGGAAATCTTTATCAATAACGTTTACGAATCTTTATAATGCAAATGGCAGCTGAAGGAGAAATCTAAGTCACACTGATTACATTAATTAGATTTGGTTCAGCTACATTTCGTTGATTTTTATGGAGAATACCCATGATATACTTTAAGGTTTTCATTTGGCAAACCACGAAGGAGTCAAAGGACAAAAGATCAGAGGGTGCCAAGTGGATCTCACTCACCATGGCTCGTGGGGAGAACACACGTGGAGACCCAGATAAATCCTGAGAGTTACTGAACACAGACCATGCAAGGACACAGCAAGCATTCTGTGTAAAGACGTTTATTGGTTTTAAAGATCTGTTTTCCAGAATCATTGTTTCTTTCTCATTAGGGCAGTGCCTCTAGATTATTTGACGCATGCACTCACCATCTTCCAGTGGTAAACATTTCTTTCCTATTGATTTATGCCACATGCATTTTTTTCTCTGCTTCTGAGGATCACAGAAGAGGATAACTCTGGAAATAGGATACACCAAAGTCTCCCCATGAATTGCAGTGAGAGTCTGAAAGTTCGCAGTCACTCACGGTATACAGATCAGCATCCTAGCATTGTCATGATGGTAACCACATTCATGAAATGAAGTCACATTGTAGAGAAGGCAGGCAGGATTGAAACCAAGCACATCAGGTGACAGCAGTTTCTGTGTTAGCTCAATTAGTGTCATCACCAGTGATTGCCCAAGATCTAGAGACACAAAATGGTTGCATGTCTACAAAGTAGGACAGTCACTTAATTTACCACCAGTAGAAGAAAAGAGAAAGCCACCTCCTGGTTTTAACTGTGCAAGAGACACAGGGTGAATTGGCAGTGGGGGGGCAGTGCAGGGAACTTTTTTTCCTTCCATGCGGCCTTACTGACCTGGGAGGATGGCCTCACACCTGACCCCCTCATTGCACTCTATTTGTCTGGCCTTATCATGACCTTGAAAGAAAATCTTACTTCCCTCTGTTCTGATTGTTTCTGTTTGGCCAGCACACTTTGCTCCCGTGTTTCTTCTGGAACCAAACTAACATCACTTATTGCTTTCCCGAACGTCAACAGAGTTTGTTTGCCTTTCCAGTTTATTGACCACATTCTGTGGATCAGACAGGCTCTGGGCTTAAAAATGATACTCAATACTATGTGAATTAGAGGCTGCAAAAATTAGAAAGAGAAGTAGAACCTAGTAGAAAACTAAGAACAGAGCTGTACATGACTTCAGTGTCTTACAAAGTTCTCACTACAGTCCCATGGGCTGAGCTCCAAGCCCCTTACAGAAGCTTCCCAAAGCAGTTGGAGGGAATTTCTGCCCTCTGCTCCAATTTGCTTTGGGCACAGAATGGATCGTGTGGGTGTTTCCCAGCTGGCTTGGAAGACTCGTGACTGTACTGATTCAATGGTTGGGTGAAGAGTGTGTGTTTGATGAGGGCAACATGAATTGCCTAATGGTCTCATGAAGCAACATAAAGGATCGGAAAGCCACAGTAAGGCAGTGGCCTTGTTGCTACTGTCCTACTGCGGACAAGCCCCTCAAAGTCTCTGGGCTCGCCTCCTTCACTGCAGAGGGTGTAAAATTAGACTAAGTGGTCTTCCAGATTCAGTGGCTCTACCCTCACTACAGTCAGGAAGTAAACTCTGCCCCTTTAGAAAGCAAATTCCATTAAAATTTCTCCTGCTATTGGATGGGGACACGGAAATAGAATTCCTACGCACAGGGCAAGCTCCGCACACCAGGCTAGGTTGTCAGGTGGGACTGAGAATAGGGTCTCTGCGGGTGACAGGTGGCAAGGAGACTACAGTTCTTCCATTCAAGGCCAGTGAGGACAGAGTCCACACTCCCTTTCAAGGTGCCCTCAGCCCCTCCTATTTCTACACCTGCCCTTCTTCTTCCCTTTGCCCAACCATGGCTCAAACCTGATTGACTCCATGAAATCTTTCTGGTTTTCAGTCAGAAGATCTCTGGACTTGCACAATGTCTTTAATTTCTGCAGTGCAATTTGGCACTTGCCTTGCTTGGTGCTGGTGCCTGTGTGCTATTCCTATCTTTTGAGTTGCTATCCAGGGAAGGGGCTGTACCTTAATCTTCTGCACGCCCTGCATGTAAGAGGAGAATGCTGAGTGAGTGGAGAGATGGTCAGTTGTTATTGGTTGATTTTTGGGTCAGTTGGTTGACTTAATGTAAGAACTGGGGACGGAAAGCAAGTATATGATTACCAGGTACGTGTATTTTAACCACTGTAATTGATCATTCTGAGTTGATAGCTACGTGGGTTCTAATTAAAGCCTGCTGTAATGTAAATTTCCTGATACTATGAAAATGACACTTACATTTTGTTGACAATCTTTAGTCTCCAAAGCACTTCTGCTGCATCATTTTGGCCAGTTCTCACACTGACCTGCTAGGAGTACACAGCTGAGGAAACCGAGGCTCAGGCAGGTGGAGTGACTGGCCAGGGTTACACGGATACATGGCTTTTTGTCTTTCAATCCCAGGTCTTTTTCACTCATCTACATATTTTTCTCTTAAAAAAAGGTCAAATTTTGACAGATGGAGCTGAAAACTTTAAGCCTACATCCTGGTTTTTCTGAATAGTGGATTTTAGAGACAGCAAGTCTTTGCAGGAGTATTGGCGCCTGTGTGTGTGTGTGTGTGTGTGTGTGTGTGTGTGTGTAACTTGGGGGAATAACCTTGCTGCTTACATAGACCTCCCTAAGGCATAAGCAGTTCTCAGTCTTCTAGACAGTTACAGACCCAGACCATGCACAGGTCTTACCCAGCAGTGGAGAAGATACCCAATAACAAGGGTGATTGGTTCAGGAAAACTATTGGACGGGAAGGAGTTTTGCATTGAGAAGAGGACAGATGAGTTTGTGATTTTCTGTTTGTTTGGCTCTGTGAGCTCTGGCTTGGTTTGAGTTCCCACAAATGCATGGGTGTGTGGAGCTATCGGGACATGAACATTTGCAGCCACTGTCCGATTATTCCCTCGCTGTCTGTCCAAAGAGGAATAGATTCCTTGGCTTATGTGGGACTGTGGCCCCAGGCTCTAGGGCTCTCCTTCTCACCCTGGGCTCCAGAGGCAGGTGTCCACTTCAGCAGGGTGGAAGGAGGCTATGGCCAAGGCACGGGCAGCCAGGCCTGTGCTCACTGTCCTAAGGGTGCCTCCATGGCTGGGCACAGCCATGCTTGCCTATGAAGGGAGTCCACCAAAAAGGGAGTCTGCACGCCTAACAGTCCAAGCAATGATTGAGTTTTACATTACTTCCTACTGCTTTTAAAGTGAGAAATTCTTACCAATTGAAGTGAAAAACGGTATTTCGTTCACTAAAGAATTGATTTCTTCTATGTTTCTAATAAACCTAATGGAAATGCCATGCAAAAAAATCAAACTCTGAGTGTATGGAAGGGGCGACACTGAGCTGAGTGTCTCTCTGCTCTGTCACTGGCTGTCACCCAGCCCAATCCGGGGTCACACCAGTCTCCTGGCTGCACCCCTTGGTGCAGTTCTCAGAGACCAACGTGAACCTGTTTTTCAATCAGGTAATAAACACTACTGAAATGACCTGCCTGTGGATGTATTTTTTCCCCCTAAAGTAAAACTGCTTTTAGTTTTCATTAGAAGGGGAAATTATTTAGAAAGGAATAAACTCAGGTGCTTTCCCTAGCGAGATGTTTCTGTCCTAGGTCTTTAATCTCCACAGTGTAATTCCAGGACGGTCAATAGCTCCAGGGTCCAAAGACCGTCAGCCAAATGTCAGGTTTCCAGGATGGCGAATGCCACCATAGAGGGTTGCATGGATGAACATTGTAAGTTCACTGTCATCAAGTTTCACGACTATTATGACCACAGGGAACCTGAGCAGGCCCTGCATTCTTAATACACTGTCATTCTGGTCTAGCAGAGCTGCTGTGTGCACTTGGGGGCAAAAAAGAAAGTGGTAAAGAAAAACAAAAGTAACAATAAATTTGGTGAATGGCCAGCCCTGCCGAAAGACATCAATCCTTGTTCTTTAAGGCGAGGCCTCTTGGACCTCTGAAAACCTTGAACCAATGGGCAGGTTCCCAAGTAGGCAAAACTGCCTGAAGAATTGAATATATTATCCCAGAAGACTTCTCCTCCCTCACAGTGGTAAGATACAATTGGCGACATCTGAACTTGATCCAATCATCCCTTCAGCTCCTTGGCTGTTTCTGGGGACCATTTCAATCTACCTAATTTTTGCAAAGACTATGGGTTCCTAAGACTCATTTCCGGTACCTGACTTAGAATGCTGCTCTAGAATTACATGTTGTAGTATTTGCAGTATTTAAAAAATTTAAGAATATCTGACATATTTTAAATGGAAGGATAGCCCACAATGACTGGATCCTTGAGGCAGTGTATCAGGTATGCATGATTTTATTTAAAATGTGTCCAATAAGACTTTCCACTTGGAATGAACATTTTTACCTCTTTCCTCATATTATTAGAAACAGTATTTCCTCATTTCATGGAGTTTCTTAGAAAGTTCTAAGTAACTTAACAGAAGAGAAAAATGAAATTGTGGGGAGATTAAATAACAGGAAGTTTACACCACAGCAAGGGTGCTCACCCATCCCAATTTCGGGGGACACACAAGTGACTATTGGGTGAAAGAGACCCGGTCATGCAAATCATCATATGATCACTTGGTATCCTTTGGCAGTTCTGACATTCCTTGTCACTAGCACAGATAATAAAATGAGTCAGATGACTGCAGTGAATGGGAAATCGTCTTTTGCTTTTGGTGGTGGAAAGACAGGAACACAAAGGCGTGGCCGTAGGACCATTTCCTAACATCGGACGAGACTGTTCGCAGCTGACCACCCGTTGCTCTGAGCCCCAGAGGGCGCATCTGGTGTCCACGCCACCATCTGCCAGGGGGTGGTCGCAGCGTCCTCTGCCTTCCATCCAATGGCACTGGTTTATCTGTGGACAGCAGCACACCACAAATCAGCATTGAGGGCACATTTCCACCAAGTGGGCAGTTGTGGTTTTAAATCACTAGAACCTGGCAATGTTAAATTTGTGTTTTCATGAGCCAAAGGTCATAGCACAAATGAGGTCTAAATGTCATCACAGCGGACCATGGGCCACAGAAAGACACATCTTCAAGTTATGTTGACTTTCCAGGAAGAAAAACAGAGATACAGAGCACAGCAAACACGTGCTGGGGACGCACGGCGGCGATGCACGGCGTCCCTATGAAATATGAACGGCGCCATTTACATGGAAATGGAGCCAGCAGGGGCACTGAGTTTCCTGCCGGCTCGTCAGAGCTGCTGTCATGGAAAGAAGCTCAGGGCAATGTGACCGGGGTGGGCAGAGGGGCAGGCAGGCTGGGAAATGTCACCATCTCAACATGTGTTCTAAAGTGACTTCAAGGTGATCATTCATTTATAATCGAAACAGAATCCGAACGGCGTTTGCTCCCTCTTCCTCTCTGTAAACACATCTGTTCATAAATAACTTAAACGTCTCCTTGGCATTCAGGATGCAGTTCTGGCTGGAGTAAAAAAGGGTGGAGGATGCACAGCGTTGAGGAGATGTCAGGGTACTGGTGTGTGTGTGGACAGGCGCTCGAGCGTCTACTGCACGTGGCAGACATCAGCCATCGGACACGGGCGGGGTGACCCAGCCATATTTTTCATGTGTCTTCACCAAACTCTTAAAGGTAGCTTCAGCTTCCTTGCGACTGAAGGACTTTTTTGATTTGCCAGCTTTCCTACAGATCCGTCCCTGCGTGAGATGAAAAGAAAAACCAGGTTAGAAGGTCACTGGGAATTCTGTTTCCTACCATCTTTATTAAAAACACACGGAGTCATGGGGATTTCTGATGTCTGAATCAATGCAATGCACTGTCCACCAGCAGGGTGGGGCAAGCCTCACTGCCCAGATGCAGAACAATTCAGCTCTGGCACCAAACAGATGGGGCAGCCTGGGGCTGGCAGCCTTCTAGGGGAGGGGGGTGCTGTCTTTACAAACCCACACACAGCATTGGCTGAATCCGAACTTGCTCACTCCACGGTGCCGGAGAGCAATCTCTGGCCCAGTTCCTGAGATACGCAGGAGGGGCCGGCCTTATCGAAAGGGCATCACTTCACAGCCAAGCATGCTCTCCCTGAGGCAATAGACTGTTCGAACTTTCTTTCCCTCCCTCCAAAGAATGCCTTTAATTACCACTTCAGATTCCATCTGTGATAACAGTGAAGATAAATGTATTTATAGAGAGATGTGTATATTTGTATATTTCTACAGATATTTAAAAACTCTATTTTTTAAAATTCAAGTTCCAGAGCCATTCGTGAATTTATTGGAATTTGTGTCACTTCAGCACCATTTTGTGAGGTGACGGTGGACATTTTCATGGAAGAAGAGACCTGTCCTTGAGGTCCAAGAGGGGGTAGAGGTCAGGGCAGGTGCTTTGTCGCACAATCCCAGGAGGGGGTGGGGCTGGTGGAGAGAGCCACGTCCCCTCACAGTGACCAGGCGTGTTCTGCTCCCAAGGACAGAGCACTTGTCTCTGCAGTGGTCAAAAGGGACTGACCCATCTTCAGATGGCACAAGAGGGCTCTGGACTACGAGAAAGAAGAAATCAGGCAACACTGCCCATGTGACAGAATCTTGGGGAGCCCTGGAAAATGTGGCATATCTGGCACCAGAGGGGAGGAGCAGATGGAAGACAACCAGGAGTTGGGGTGATGCTGGCCTCAGTTGGACCTGTGGCAGCTCTCACTCTTCCAGTCTCAATTACTCTTCATTAAGCCTCTTAATGGTGGATCAACTGAGACGTTCCCTTAGCCTCTGAGGCACATTTACTTCCACTGAGCCTCCCCCAGGCTCTCCTGGAAGATCTGCTCCTCTCCTCGGGCATCCCATGTACATGTTTTGCAGATGGGGCAGAAATGCCTGGAAAGACCTGGCTGAGCTTTGTCTACTGGCAGGTGCATGATTACCAACCATCACCTGCTGTTCAGGAACCTTGGCGAACAGAATTTCTCTCTGAACAGACCCTCTGCACTCCCAATACAGGGCACTGGTGCTACAGCACAACCGTGCGCACATACTGGGATGTGAACAGGGTCCAGGCCTCCCCACCGGCAGCTCCAACACACAGCAGTCAGGCGCCTTGGACAGCCATAGAGGGCAGAAGCCACATGGGTCTGTGTGGCCACCAGCAAGCACGATCCACCCGATCCTGGCTCTCTAATAACCCACTGACAACTCCAGTGGGAAAGCAGCTGCAATGACCTCTAAATCTACTGGGCAGATGGTGCCCAGTCACCTGAAACGTGGAGGGGAAGAGGCCATTTCACATGCCTGTATTCGGAGCCTACCTAGGCTTCCTTTTCAATAACTGTCTTTTCAACAGTGGACACACAGGCCATCCCTAGTTGAGAAGTCAGGAGCCCAGGGTTACCAAACTCTGCCTGCTCTGGATATCCCTCTGGTTTCACTTGTGCATCTGTCATTGGGGGCAGCAGGACTTTTCCTTTTTAAAAAATTTTTTCTTTTTATTTTTCTTTCTTTTCTTTTCTTTTTTTTTCGAGACAGGATCTTGCTCTGTCATCCAGGCTGGAGTGCAGTGGCACGAAGTAGCTCACGGCAACCTCAAACTCCTGGGCTCAAACAATCCTCCTGCCTCAGCCTCCTGAGTACCTAGGACTATAGGTGTGAGCCACCGCACTTGTCTAATTTTTTATTTTTTATAGAGATGAGGTCTCATTGCCCAGGCTGGTCTTGGACTCCTGACCTCAAGTGATCTTCCCACCTCAGCCTCCCAAAGTGCTGGGATTACAGGCCCGTGCCACCAAGCACACCTTTTCAAAAATGCTGTATAGCTCACATCAGAAGAGCTGCTAAAAGGATGAAGGAAGATCGGAGGAGAAGACGACAGGAAATGGCCATTTACTTACTGCTAGCAACATCCCCACGCCTCACTAGGATTGACTCCTATTTTGAGTTTTATAACTTCAAGCATATTTGCTTATGTGATGTGATTATACTTGATAAAAAGAGACCACTCAGAGCTAATGTATTCATAATCATCATCATTGTGGGCTGAGATCAAAGTCCAAAGTTATCTTATTAAACATATGAAAATACATCTTTCACATCTTTGCGAGGATGTTAGCATCAATTTCTTCCTTCTTTTTTTTTCTCTCGAGACACAGTCTCGCTCTGTCATCCATCCAGGCTGGAGCGCAGTGGTACAATCATAGCTCAGTGCAACCTTGATCTCCTGGGCTCAAGAGATCCTCCTGCATCAGCCTCCCAAATAGTTGGTACTATAGGCATGCACCACCACATACAGCCAGTTAAAATTTATTTTTTATAGAGACAGGGTCTCGCTTTGTTGCCCAGGCTGGTCTCGAACTCCTGGGCTCAAGCAATCCTCCCACCTTCATCTCTCAAAGTGTTAGGATTATAGGCATTAGCCAGTGTGCCCGGCCAGCATCAATTTCTACATCAAGTGACAGCAAATATCAAGGGTTGATTTTTTTTGGCTAAAATGATTTTTTTAACCATCTCTATCCTTTTTCTCTATAATACTGAAAATCTATGGTATCATATGAAAATCCTGAGCTAAAGGTAGCTAGACAAATAGAGGCTCACAATCATATTGGAATATTCTGTGGCTTTTGGCATGAATCCACACTTTGCCTACTCTTTGTGAAAGTCTCAATTGTTACAAGAAACAACAAACAAAACCCCAAAGGAACAGACCACTCTTTGTTGCCTTTTCTTCCCTGTTAGAATTATGAACAGAAAGTCCCAGTGCTTAGTCAATTCCACAACCGGGAGACAGAGCCCGTTATGAGTCAGTCAGAGGTTCAGCGCATTTATTGCACTACACTGTTGATAAGGAGCTCTCATCTCATCTCCTGTCTCTTACACCCACGTTTACAATTAACAATTTTTTTTTTCATAGGTTCATCTGATTCTGATTGGCTGTTTAAATGTGACACAGTGAAATGCTGGACTTGGAAGCCACTTCCTGCATTCCCCCTTTATTTTCTGGCTCTCCCAGTGTCACAGAGCTGTTTTTGACATGCCCTGCTGTGCCCACTGCACCAAGAAGAGGGGAACCCCCCCATCCCGTGTTCCCTGCTTGCTGCAGATGTTTGGGCACTCCCATTCATCCTTCCAGGATACAGACTCTTGAAAAGTGAAATTTTGGGAATCAAGTGCAGACAATGTCACACATCATGACGAACATCCAATAAGATAATGCATTTGAAAACACTGAGGACTTTGAACTTCATACAATTAATAGCGTTTTTCTTATTCTCATAACACTTACCTTTCTCCCTTGTCCAGTTCTATTTAATAATTAAAGAATCTAGTCTGAGATATTTCCTTTGAATGACTCTCATTTCTTCTAAAATATCTCTACTTGTGCTTAATGTTAAAAGGCGTGGATGTGACTTTTCACTCATCCACTACAACAGCTTTGTGTTATCACTCAGTGTTTACAGCAACACTTTTGATAAGTAACAATTTCTCTCTTTCCTGAGCCACACATGGTAAGTGTGTATTTATGAACAACTATAGGATTTTGCCATCACCACCTTAAAAGTCTCACTGTAATATCGAAGTGGAACAGTGTTAATGAGAACACAATTCTCCAGGGCTGCATCTGTCAAACAAAACCAGTAGGTGGTACTTTGATTTGATTCTTTTTTTCCCTTATGGCCTTTTAAGGGCCAATAGCAACGATTCAGCATGAAAACATTTCAACACAGCTAATAAGATGACAAGTGCCCCCAAACTTAGGTCCCCAGTTCAGTCCCCATGTACTTGAATTTTAGCCTGGCACGTCTGCATCTCCCTCAGTTGTCTAACGTTTCTCATTCATTCATTTATGCATTCATTCAATGTGTTGGGTGCCGGGTCTAACAAGACAAAGTGAGACCATGTCCCTGCCTTTAGGGCTTAGAGTCCATTATGGGCAGATAACCAGGCATATTGCAGCTGCTGGGACAGAGGGTGTGGAGCAGGCAGGGTCTCTCACTCTTGGTATTGTTGGCATCTTGGGCCAGGTAATTCTTTGCTGTAGGGGCTATACCTGCATGGAAGAAAGTTAGCAGCACCCCTGACCTCTACCAACTAGATGCTAGTAGCACCCCATGAGTAATGACAAGAAATTGTTTCCAGACATTGTTAAATGTCCCCACAGGAGCAAAATCACTCCTGATTGAGAACCACTGATGTGTAGAACTAAAAGAGCCAGAGGCAGGAAGAGTCAATTCATTCTTTATTCATTCAGCAGTCAATTGCTGCAGGTCTTCCCTCAGTCAGGAACTGTGCTGGTGACCGGGACTGCAGAGCTTTCTAAAAAGAATAATTCTGGTCCTTATGGAACTTATAGCCCAGAGGGTATGATGGATTCTACACTGGGAAGAGAGAAAGAAAGGAGAGAGAAGAGGGGTGGTGGTAGTGATTTGTGTGTTCAGAAATATTTCTATTGACAATAACGTAAGCTGAGCCTTGAGACACAGGTGGGCAGGTGTTTACCAGGCTATGGTGGGAGAGGACAAGGGGTCCCAAATTGAAGGTGTGAAATGGCTCACTATACTCAGGGAACGATGGACAGATGCTTGGGGGAGGGGGAGGCTTGGGCATGGAATTTAAGAGTGTGTGTGTGTCTGTGTGTGTGTGCTTGTGTGTGTATTTGGTGGGGAAGGAGTTGCATAATTCAATAGACCTGGCATCAAATCCCTGCTCCAATACTTCCT